CCCCAAAACCCCAAAACCCCAAAACCCCAGTGTTTATATTAATAATTGAAATCCTAAATCTCAATATGGATAACAAAAAGCCAAATTCTTTATCCACTTCAAGTAGAGTATTCACCAAGAGATCAATGAATACTTCAAGTAGAACATTTAATCCTAGTAATTCTACTACAACTGCGCCTACTTCGCAAATATCTTCGCAAGCCCCTTCCCAGGTACCTCAGCAGATGACCCCACAGATTCCAAAGTAAGGTTTGTATCTTAATTTTAGCCCTGCTTTGTCTCAGTCAACTCCTTACTATCAACCTTCTCAAAGCTACCAGAATACGTCGGTTCCTCAGACTTACCCTCCACAGGTCCAAACCTATATGCAGCCTGTAAGTCATATTTAGAAGGGTTCCCACATAGATACTTAAAAAGCCTCCTTGCTAGTGGCTACCTCCCTTGATCAGGATATTTTCTACTTTGAATACTTCACTATGCCATAATTCCCAAGCGTGTTTAAACCAATCAGATCCTAAGAGCTTGATGAGGCTAGAAATACCCTCTTTGATAGGTTCAAAGAAATACACAAATTTCCTCACCTTTTTATGATTTCTGACTTGTGGATATTTAGAATGCCCCTATGGGATATCAAGGGAACAGCTGGCCTTCTCAGAACTTAGGGCAGTCTACGATTGGTGTGCATCAGACACAGTATCAGTCACATCAGCAAAACTTCCATCATAATCAGTCCCATCATGGCCATTCAAACCATAGAGGTCTGAACAATAAGAAGGAAATACCAGTTCAGTGTAAGTAATTTCTCTGAGAAATAGTGAACCCAGAGATTATCAAAAAGAATATTTTCACAAAGATCTTAGAGTGTAATACTTCCTTTGGACCTTCAAAGACAGAGAAAGTCGCTAGGCATGAATCCCGTCACCATTACTCACTTGAAGTACCAGAGGGACAGCTTCAAGAATTCACAGTCCCCGAGGAAGACACCACTGAAAAGATCTTCTCCTTGTACTTTTCAGTTCCCAAGGAAGAAGAAAAGAAGAGGAAACTTGAGGAAGAAAAACAAAAGTTAAGAGAAGAAGAGGAAAAGAAGCAAAAAGAAATAGCGAGGCACGAACTCATGGAGAAAGGAGTCAACCTCAATCTTGCAGTTAAGGAAAGAGTCTTCTCTACTGAAAGCGAGCTTGAAGAAATCCTTGAACCTTTTAACGCAAGTGACACTGAATTTATCAAGATGTGTATCAGCACTCTTAAAAAGGGTAAAAATATATCAGTGAGCCAGCTTAAAGAGTTCCAGAAAATGAGTGTTACTAAAAATCCAAGCTCTTTGTGTGTTCAAGAGTCTCTCATTAGTAAGAATTGAGCATGTTTATATTATAGACAGAAAATGCAGGGTCCAAGATTATTTCGGTGGAGGCCGTAAAAATAACTATCGAGGAAATAATAGAAGAGATAGAGGAGATCGAAGAGACAAATATGACAACAGAGACAGAAAATACAACAACAGAGGTCCTAACTCAGGCGGTGGAGGATTTTCCAGAAAAGAACTCACTGAAGAACAAAAGAAAATGCAAAACGAAGCATCTAACCTTAAGAAAGTTATGGCTGATAGGAGAAAAGCTGTTGGTGAAGTTGAGGTTAATGTAAAACTCCTCATGAACAAGATTACTCCTGAAAACCAAAAATCATGTAGAAAACAAATTGAGGAAATTATTAGAAAGAATGATTTCAATCAGGAAGTCTTAGAGAAGATTGGACTTATCATATTCAAGAAGGCTTGTGTAGAGAAGAAGTACACTCAAATGTACTCAGATCTGTGACTATATCTCACAAGAATAGGTAATTTATCGACTAATTTTTCGAATAGAGTGCAAAGAAATCATTAAAAGATACGAAAAAGAGGACGCTAAGAACGGAATAACCAAAGAAGAAACTAAAGAAGAGCAGAAAAGAAAATATGATGAGCAGTTAGCCAAGCTTCAGGAACAATTAGAAAAAGGAATTATTGACGAAATTCCAGCTGATATGAAAAAGTTTAAATACAAAAAACCAAGGTCAAAGGCTTGGAAGAGTTATAAGAAGGTAATTTATCTATTCAACTTCTTAGGAATCTCATATCAGGGAAAGTGTGACCACCCAGTGCAGGCTTCATGTTGAAGATCTTGCAGAGGATGAGGAGCCTGACAAATCTGATCCAGATTGGGAGGATAAATACTCAAAGTATAGAGCTAAAAAGTTTGGAAACATTAGATTTGTGGGAGAGTTATTCAACAAAGACTTTTTCTCTACAAATCTGCTCTTGAGAATCTTTGATAACAATCTTTTGAAGATCCCAAGAGACCGAATCAGAAGTAATGAGAAAATCACAGGAATTGCAAACGATATGGTTGAGGCTAGCTGCATTCTATGAGTAGCTATTGGTAAAAACATGGAAGAGCAATGGGAAGAGTAAGTTTTATAGCTCATATTTCTAGAGAAGGAGGGGACCTCGATAAGTCAAGTAAATCACTAATTTGCATTAACTAATACATTTATAGTAAAGAAATCTGAGACCAAGAAGGGACACAAGACTACTTGGGAGAGAATACTCAAAGATCTTCATGAGATTAGTCTCAGAGAGGATCTGATAGAAAGCAGGACTAGAATTCTGATCAAAAATACCTTCACCACAAAGGAATCTGGCTGGAAGAATGACAAGGATGAAGGACCCCTCAAGCTGAAAGAACTTCATAAAAAGGTTAGGAAAGAACAAGAAGGCGGCTATGAAGAGGAATATGAAAAGCCTAAGCCTAAACCAAAGCCAAAGAGAGAAGAGAAGAAGCAAAAACATGGCAGTGGAGGAACCTTTTTCGGTATTTTATGTTAGGCTAATATACTAGGAATGGCAGACTTTGAAGAAATCGAAGATGATGATGATGAAGACGATGATGATGATGAAGAAGAGAAAGTTGATACTCATCAATCATCTGCTGATGAGAGATTCAAGGATATCAATGATGACAAGCTGAGCGATATCTGTATTGGTAACTTTAAGGAATACCTTGACCATGAGGAGTTCGCCTTTGAAACCTTCCAGGCTGGTCTCAAAGCTGGAATCAGCAAAGGCCAATTCATATTTGCACTATTTTATAAGCTGTTTGATAATGATAGAACTATCGTAGATAAATTTGATGATTATCTGATAGAATTTATAAGTAAGCTATCCACTCAATTTCTAGAACAAATTGAAGTTAATCCATCTGACATCACTGAAGGGTTAACTAAATATAACATAGAGTTGGTTAATCTTGAATGTGACTATCCCTTCGTGGACAGACAATACTCCAAGATCCTCTACGCTCTAACAGAGGAAGATCTTATTGAATATGGTAAGGTCATACTCTAACTCTATAAAGATCAAATCAAGTGGTACAGCCCTGAAGATGAAATGTCTGATATTTTCTTCAAAATCTTTATCAGATTAGCCGAAAGGAAGTACATTGACTCCGACCATGAGAAGGATGAGCTGAGAAGTTTCATCCAAAAACATGGCTTGGACAAAATTTTGGAATCAATTAAGGAGTATTTGCTAGAGGAGGATCTTCTGAAAGATTATCACTCAGAAATTAAGGAATCCCCACTCTCTGATAAGCTAAATTCTTTGAATGTCTGTGCGCATACTCTGATTTATACAGAGCTTGGTTTACAATAAAAGAAAAATGTTCAATAATTTGGCCAATTTTTGGGGTTTTGGGGTTTTGGGGTTTTGGGGTTTTGGGGTTTTGGGG